AACACTGGAGCGTAACGAATAAATTTTATGAGTAGCTTTTTCAACAAAATTTTGCGACGTATTTTTGCGTGGTTAAGATTACTGATAATTTTTGCCATGCAGTGTCATCTTTCCTGACTCATTTTGCTCTTTCTCATTGCTGTAGATTTCTGCGAGATCATTTCAGAAGTGCCCTTCTATGAACCCTTGAAAGAAATTCTGTTTATTCTTCACTTGGTTCATATTGCTGCCATGGCAGTGCCATATAATTGTCTTTAATTTTTAATAAAAATTCTACTTTGCCGGGCTTTTAGAACTCTTTTTCTTATACCTCTGGTCAACTGAGAGTGCATGGTAACAAACACAGTAGCTATGAAATGTCAAATACTCCTCCTATTCGGAATTTTCGGAATTATGAGACCGGTAAAGTCGCTATTAGTATCTTATTTGGAATTTTGCTGTTTTTGATGATAAACCTGACATAAAAATTAGTTTTATTGGCTACCGGCCTTTTGATTTTTGCCATGTTTATGGTTTTATCTCTAGAATGTTGTCTCTAATATTTTTTCAAGTGGTATTCATAATGTAGGGTTTCAGTTCCGCGATTACAGTCGTCTGCTACTTTATTTTCCGGCTCTCTTGCCGCTACGAATTATAATCCTCGCGAACAATTTGCTTCGCAGTACTTGACTCCAACTGAAAATGCGCGACTGGTTAGCTTCTTGTCTTTTAATTTTGATTTTTATCTTTACTTTTTTTTCGTTGTTGAAGCTTGAACTCAGTGCCTTGTTTGTCGTCAAATGTGCAGCATTGTTTCGTATATTGAAGCATCAACGGCTTCAATAAAATCTGTTTACTTTGTACAGTGGTTTGAGTTTTTGCTTTTTCTTGCTTACTTCAGAAGATTCCAGCATTGTCCTTTTAAATGAGGTAATGAAGTGAACAAAAATTAAAGTTAATTAATTTCAAGTAAGCATTATAGTAGCTAAATTAATATATTAGTGTGTTGGTTATTATAGGGTTTTTTGGTTGAGAGCGGCTAATCAAAGCAATTTCGTAGAAAGTTTGATGTTGGGAAGCTAAAAGTATCTATGTTTTTTTTTTTTTTAAATTTACATTAGGAAAAAATTAGAAGTGCTCTGCTGTTTATGGTATGAAAATTTTTATATTCAAATTTTGGTTTGATGACGTTTTTATTAAACAGTATAAATTAGTTTTTTATTATAATTTTCTAGTGTCTTTAGTTTGTTTAAATTTTCTTTTATATGTTTTGAGGCAAATTGTTCGCAACGGATTAAGCTGTATCTCTTTCTTCGTAGTTTACCTTTTATTCCTGTAGTTTTACTGACTTTTTTTTTTTTGTTTGGGCAACTCAAAATAATTGTCGCCTTTTCAGAAATATTTTTAAAATCAATTCATTTTGTTAAGAAGGTGACGCAGAGTTTTGCAATCAAGAATCCTCTTGGCTGTGACTGTTTTTTTACCTTTCGAACTGGCTATGTTACATTGTAACTATTTCGTCTTTCTTTAAGTGCCAAAACATTTATATTTTTAATGGTATTTTTTTATTGTTATTAGCAGAAGAGTTTGTCGAATTCAATGTAAGGGTTAAAGCATGTGAAGGTCGTAACATAACGGTCATCACTGTATTTTTGTTGATGCTTAGTCGTTTCTCGTTATGTACTGTATTTGCGTAATTTGGATTCAGTCACTGGTGGGAGGTTATTAGACAATTTCTAAAGTGGAACCGTAGAATCTGACTTTTCACTAGTATAAATTTTTGACCACGAACTGTAAATAATTAAATTTGATGACGATTTTAGGCTATGATATATGGATAATTTTACCTGTAGAGCAGTTGAGTTTGTTTCTGTTTCCTAAAGTATTTGTTAGTTCACTTTGTGAACTTTTTATTTTATCTTTCTCAAGTCTTTTTGAAAATTAAATGAGTTGATGGATGTTACAAAAGAGATTTTAGTTTGTAGTATTGAACCTTACAGGTTTTGACAATTGTTTCTTGAAGATATGTTCAAAAAAAAATTTGTTGTATGGAAAAGTCGATAAAAAATTTTTTTTGAAAAGAGCTGAATGGATTTCATTATCACTATCAAAGCTTGTTCTTTTATTTCATAAGCTCTCTTTTCTCATTTGTTTTATGACTTTCTTCCCGTATTAATGTCAGTTTTATCAGAAGAATTTCTCGTATACTTCATTCCCCATCTTCTATATCCATTTTTTCTTCAAGTGGTAGAGGTTTCTTCATTAACTAGTTTGTAGTTCATCTGTCATCTTGTTACTGTTTTTATTTTAGTTGAGTAGGAAGAAAAGATGACAGGAGTACACTGGTGGTTTATCGCTCTTTTGAGGGAAGATGCGTTAAGTTTTAAAACGAAAAGGATGGTGAAGAAACAAAGAAAAAAAAAAAAAAAGGCGAACAGAAATTTTCAGATTCTAATTAATGATTGTACTGAAATATACAGTGCAAAATTTTTGTGTAGGTGGTGTGGTTGTTGAAAAGAATGTTACCTTGCTGTGTTTTGGTAGAAGAAACAGAAATGACAAAAAAAAGAATGCTTATGAATTTGTATGAGGGAGATTTGTATGAGGGATAGGTAGAAACCGTTAATAAGCAACGTAATTTTTTTTTAAAAATGATACATTCGACGTCTAGATAAAATAGTTTTTGATGCAATCCTTCTGCAAAATTTGACATCTTGTTGGGCCTTTTATTTTATTATTTTTAACTATTATCTGTTGTTCGGCTTTTGAAGTTGTTGTTTTTTTTTTTTTCAAATTATACTGTTTAAAGATTTTTTACGTTGATAGGTGGGTTGCAATTTGTTTTCTTGTTATCCCTTCATCGTTATTTCGGTGTTTTCTTTGACTCTCAGTTCGCTAATATCGTTTCTAATGAATATGAAGGAGGGGCCAAAATCTCACTTTATCTCTTTGGTTTAACCACATTTTTTTACTAATTTTTCATTCACCTGTATTCCTTGTTTTATTGCTTTCTTTTTTATTTTTGTTATTTAGTGCGTGGAGATTTCAGGAATGTCTGGGTGTTGAACTGCAGCTGCTTTTTTTGTCTAGGAGATTCCATAAATTTTTTTGGTGTGCTGTATATATTAAAAAATTGAGTCGACAAGTTATAAGCTTTGGTGAACTTGATGGCTCTCATAAATTGTGTGGAACGAGGTGATTAATCAGTGAAGAAGGTCTCGATCGTATAAGACCAAGTATTTCGTTCTAAAGTTAATCAAAGCAGTTTTAAGTTCTGAATAATTTGATAAACTGATCATTTCTAGTATTGAGTCACTTTTAGATCTGACTTCTGTTTTACTGGTGGTTGCTGCCGTTTGTTATTTTTAGTCCTTTTGAATAACAGGAAAACTCATCAAGGTCAAACTTATTACTTAGATGGTCTAATTTTAGTCGACGGAGTTCTTTAATGGATGACTGTTGGTGGTGAGAAATTTGCACTTGAAAGCTCTAAAAAAGCTTATATTAAAGTCTCAGATTGGTTTTTTTAATTGCTTATAATACACTTCTCTTTGTCGTCTTAGAATATGCAGAAGCATTTATTGAGTTGTTTTTGATCACAATTTAAGCGATAAAAAGTAAAGATCTCTAAGAAGCAAGATTAGCCGGAATAGTGGTAAAGTATTTGTAATGCTGTTCTCGTAATAACAGTAAAAATTAAGACATTATTGTGGGTAATTCTTATTACTCGCTAAGAATATCAGGTTCTTGGCAATTCTCAAGGGTCGTCATTATTGTTTTTGGTCATCTAATTCGTGTAATTACTAATGATAAAGTTCTTTCATCTTTAAAATGTTTCAGTTTTCTAAATATTTTTGCATGATTTTGGTCTTATATTGGCGTGCAGTAAATTGTGTGAAAATTTTTTTATACTTTGTTTTCACTTTACAGAACTGCGATAATTTCTCAGAATGAACTGTTGTGGAACTTTGCAAAAAGTTGAGCAAAATAGTTGAATTTTTCTTTTAACCGTCTCCGGTACTGTGCAACAGAAGGAAATAAAAAATTGAAATTTCTCTGTAATATTTAATTGGCTTAGCATTAGATCGGTTGTAGTTTAGGAAATAGGATTGAAGAAGCCTTTTGGGGGAAAATTGCTCTTAGTTATTGAAGGAATTAGTATACGGAGGTACCCATATCATTTTGGACTTTTGTTTTGATTGGTGATGACGTCATTTGCACGTAGGCGGAAAGTTTACGGGAGGTTTTTGTGGGGACAAGTTATGGTTTTTATAAGGGTCTGATAACTGATTTTCTCACTTTGCATAAGGTTAACTGCGCAGACAGACGTAACCTTCTTATAGTTACTGCAGAGGTGGCTTCGTTTCTTGCTCTTATGCTGTTAGGGGACCTCTACCCAATTTTCAATCTATCTTCTATGTGCACTTACTCTTCTTTAAACTTTTATTTATGAAGTTTTATCATAACCACTAAGCAGCTCTGTGTTATTGATTAATTTCAAATTAGAGTTGGTTTTTTATTAGCATTTGTTGCATTTTAACTATGAATAGAATATTGAAGATGTTTTTAAGCACAGAATTCTATTTCTTCGGCATTTTTTCAGCAATGTTATTTATGAGAGTGACTTAGCTAGAATTTGTAGAGTTGTTTATTTACTATCACCTTTTGTTTTGCTTAATATATGAATAATGTGACTGAAAATGTATTTATTATTTGAAGTGTTTTTACCGTAAATGTTTTTCTGCGGTAAAAGACTTGTAGGAGGATTAGGCTACGCTTTGATCCTGCTATTTCTGCTGTTCTTGAAATCACTATTCGTAATTATTATTGTTTTTTGTAGTTTATCACTAGGTTGTTTTTTAGATTTAATTTTATTTTGAAGAGATGAATTTCTTTTATTAAAGTTTTTTAATATTTTTATTATCTAACGTTTTTTCAGAGTCCAACTCCTGTAGGTGTACCACCCGAAAAGGATATGACCAATAACTGCAAGAACAGAGATATGGAAGTATGATTTTTGTGTTATTTTATTAGATGTATTTTAGTTCCTCTGCAGTAAAGTGCGTGTTACTTGCTCTTTTTTTTTTTCGTTTGTCACACTTGCAATTTTCACAGTTTCTTTTTTGGAGGCCCCAATAACTGTTAATGCGAAATATTCAGTCGTATTGAACAAAAAAGGGTTCATGTTATGTAAGAAAGCAGTAAGTGTGATTTATTTGCTGTGAAAAGGATTAAAGAGGATGCTTATAAATTTGGCTTCATATTTACTTTGCAACATACAGTATGCAGGTAATGTCATGTTGCGAGGGTTATTTTGAGAACCAATTTTTAAACAGTATTATGTAACAATAAACAATAATTACGTTTTTGCAGTAATGTATAGCAATTCTTCGTATCGTCGTCAGACCATAATCTAATCAACTGAATCACTGTAGTTTTTTTTTTTTTTTTTTGCGTTAGTGAATTTTTTTATTAGCAGTTCCTATTATATTTGTTTGTTTTCGCGTATTTAAGCTTAGTTGCTAAAAATTACGGAACAGTCTTGTTTAAGTTTTTTCTTTTATTATACAGAATAGCGCAGAAAATGCAGTTCTCCAGATGTAAGAAATGGCACTCTGTTTTTACTTCACTGCCTAGCTTTTCTTTCTTCAATCTTTTTACAGTTTCATTATTTCTGCTAACTTCTTTTGTTCATTTTTTTTACAACAATTTTTCTTTAGCTGCGTGATAAAAACAGTTAATTATATTTCAGTCTTTTTCACCGTTGAGCTACGAAGGATTTATTCTTTTTTCTAGTACAGAATTAATATGAAACCAGCTCGACTGTTAAGAGTTTTTACAGAATAATCGGAAGTGCCAGTATGTTGCAGAAAATTACAGCACTTTTTCTTTCTAACTGCATTCTTGTTTTTCAAGCGTCATTGATTGTGAACCTCACTTTTTGTGTGTATTGCTATGGGTTACCAAATTACTCATTGAGGTTTTTTGCATAGAACAGTTTCCTGGGTTTTTTTTTTTTTTTTCGATTTCATACACTGTACCC